GGCAGGGCCCGTCCAGCCGCCCGCCATCCTCGGACGCCACGAAAAACCAGCGAGCGCATCGGTCACCTCCACCCTGCCAGCCACCCCGGCGCCACGCGCCCGTGACACGTAATTACACCTCAGCTTTCCGCCGAGCAAATTATTCTAACGTTACCAAGGGCAGAATTTGGCCCAGGGAATAAAACACTCGGGCTGTGTCCGGAGGAAACAAGTTTCCCCGCTGTCTGCTCCCAGCACAGAGGACCCCAGCACCCCACTTTGCTGCCCTGGAGGGGGACGTAGAGAGAGAAGAACCGCTCCAAAGAGGCGCCAGTGCGTCCCCAAACTCTCTGCGGTCAGCACAGCCCTAAAAAAAGGGGCCGACGGCTTCTCCGCAGCGAGCACAGCCACAGCCACTGCACCGGGGGTGCGCTCAGGGCCTGAAGCCCCCAGGTGACAAATCATCACCCGCCGCCCTGCCCGGGGGGAGCAGACAGCACCCCGCTCCAAAGGCGCTGCCCCAGCCCCGAGCCCCGGCCTTTCCTCCGAACAGGGGGCAGTTTGGAGGCTCAACCCCGCTCTCTCCTTCTCTCCAACCTCTAACAGTCCTGCTAAACCTGAACTCCCAGCAGATTTTTGGAAGTAGCTAACAAACTGCGGAGCTGACATCTGTAACTGCTGGTCAGTGTGAACGTTCTCACCAGCCGCACAATTAAAAGTTGGAGGGTTTATTCCCGTAGCAGGGAAAGTCACCGCTATGGATACGAACCGACCCCAATTCCAGACGGTAGCCCCACAGGCAGCCAAATTCAGCAAGACTCGTGTAGCACCTACTTCTCATTAAGAGGTTTTAGCCTCACTGATCCCCTTCATCAAAAGGCAACTCCGCTTCAGATCCGAGACCGAGATGCAAAGTTTAAGTTAAGCATCTGTAAGGCCTGAGTGACACGAGTCCACATCTCACGGAAGAGGCGTGGGACCCGAGAGCCTGATTTCTGAAATAAATACACCTTGGGCTCCTAAGGCAGCCGGGGGTTTTTAGAACTACCACGCCAGATAAGGAAGCCGGCAGCCGAGCCGCGCGCAGGCTCTCATGGCCCACGTTGCTGCCGTGCGCCCCAGCCGCCGGGACGCGGTGTCTGTGCCGGGCGGCGATGCTGAATGGCTGCACCCAACTCACGCTGCCTGGAGAGAACGAGTCCATCTATCTGGTGCTGGAGAAATCTGCATTTATGTTTTGTATGCTCTATAAATTCAGTGTCATAATAAAAAGGATCTAAATCTTTACTGAATAATTCATTTTCAGGCATAGGGAAGAAATAATGACCTATATTATATTCCATCTATCATTTAGTAAGTTCTTGAGATTGATCGGCTGGTGGGTTTCGGAAATCCCCGATGACTAACAGCGCGCTGCGGGCTGGCCTGCCCGCTACCCAGCTGTGGCTTCACCTGACAAACGTTATTTAGACGGCGTTACGGAGGGGCGATGCACGGGGGAGCTGCCAGGAAACCGAAGATCGTTTAAAATGCAGAATATGTCATTGCAAACAATTGGTCTTCCTGATGCATCTCTGCCTTTGGCGTTACCCCCAGTCTCTACAGCAGGCTCCAGGAACACACTGGGAGAGGATAAGTTTTGCCAGCGCTGTCTCAGAGAAGACACAGCGCGGAGGAAGGAAGCGACATCTTCAGGGGTCGAGGTTTCAGACCGGTCAGGGGGTGTCAGGGAGGGTTGGCCAGATACAGAGAGCTGGGAGAGGTTGTCTGTGTGTTCCCGGTGCCCGTGACAGAGGACGGGCTTTCAAGTGCCCAGCACCCAGCAGCTTCGTTGTGAAATTTGTAGGCAAAATTGCAACAGAGCGTGGACTTAGTGGGTTGGATATTTTTTGTTTTATTTTGGGCTGTCCATTCCTTGAATATCCACCTGCGTTTCCGAGTGGTGAGCTCTACACGCCTTCCCCCGCTGGCAGTCCCTCTCTTTGTTACCAGCTGCTGAATCACATGAAACGAAACCCACAGAACACAACACCCGAATGCTGCCCGTCCCTGCCCGTCCGTGGGATCTGCAGGTACCCGAGACCAGGCGCTGCCCCTGCACCAGCAGCTTGCCAGGGAAAAACTAACAAAAGCCACTTGTGTTCGGCTGCACATAAAGGAGTTACTTAAAACCACAGCGGCCAGTCCCCAAACTGAAATAGGTTATCCCAGAACCAGCAATTTCAGGGAAGCAACACCGGTTCACGCCGAGCGCAAACGTGGCTCTAGACTTTCTGGGTAGACACCGAAAAGTTCTCCCTGGTGGAAGTTCCAGGTCTGCATCAAGTTATTTCAGCATCTCGCTAATGAAGACATTGCACTGACCTTATTAAAAACACTGGGATTTTCATCTTAATTGAGAAAACAGCATTTTTTAACTGTTTCAAAAGAAGAATGAAACCCAACTATTATCAGGCCCATCTTTTAGATGATAAGGGAGCAGGGAGGAGAGCTCTGTGAGGAAAGATTTCAAAGCCTGCTTTGTTTTCGTCAGCTTTGAAATCAACAGACAGCCCTGAGAATTTTGTTTTTTAGAACTACCGTGTTTAATTCTATTTACTACTTCCAGGCAGTTCTATATATACACACACCGAAAAACCCAACCAGACCACTTTGAAACAAATCCTCCTGCTTTTTTCAGATGTGTCATTTCTCCTGCGGGTAGGATTGCAGGATACAGATCAATTAAGTTAAAAACAAAAAACAAAATGGGGAGGAGCGGCAGGGGAAGAAGAGGCTTTGTTTCGCCCCTGTGCAGCTCTCCCTCCGGCGGCTCCCGTGGCCCCGGAGAGCCTGGGCAATGCCACCGCCGCTTGCCGCTGTGGCCCCGCGGGGCGATGGGCTTTTCGGGCCACGAAGACTCGTGGCTGGAGTGACGCCAGGAATCCCATTTCCTTCCCTCTCCCAAAATGAGGCTGCCTACCTTATTTTTCTACCTGATTAATTGTTACCAAAGGCCGTTAAGATCCTCTGATAAACTGTTCCAGAAGTCCAAACTAATATTATTAACTATGAATCTTCTCCTATAAATAATTCCCAGAAATAGATCAATGCTACAACTGAGTCAATGGATTCACTGGAACCGTTTCTTCCTCTTACTCCTGGATTTTTTTTCCCTGTCGCCA